TTTTCTTGAGTGTACTGTGCATTTTTTTCCAAAAAAATCCACAGCTGTGTAGAAGGGGGTGTGCATTATACACGAAATAATGAGTTTTGATGTTTTTCCCCCATGGAAAGACATTACCGTGAGCACGTAACAGCGGAAATACCATGTCAACAAATCCATACTGAAGTACGCAAATTAAACATGTAATTACACTGTCTGACTATAAAAAGTGTTCTTTGTATATCTGGACTTATGTTTGTAACTTATTTCATTAATTTTATTCAAAATTACTTTTAATATTGTTTTAATCTATTTCGGCGAAATCATGTGTGAAGCGATCGGAAGATCGCACAACTCACCGTTATTAACAGAACCCACGGTCAGATTACCGCTATTGACGCCTTGAAACGAACTTTAGTTGTCAGAGAATGGATACATATGTCATAAATGCCATACTTTGACTCGTTAAAAGCCATATTTGTTTTTGTTGGACGATTCTATGTCAACACGTAATTCTCGCGATCACGTGAGCGGGAGCCTTGACGGTGACTGGTCAGACATGTTCCATGTAATACCCGGTAATAGCAATCAGCTGCTTTGCTTAGGGTTATTATTATTTCAAATATGTTTAGTAAAAGTGGTAATCTAAATTAACAAGATATTGGAATATATTATTCCTGATAAAAAAATAGTTTCAGATACAATTTTTGCCGATCCTTGCATTAAAACCCTGTAAAGTTATATCATTGGGTGTGTCTTGACTGAATCACCGGTAAATTCCAAGAAAATGTGTGTACAGCTGATTGCTGTGTCCGGCTTAGATTACGAGAAGATACACATGGTAATCTTAATCCCTGGATATAAAACAATGCCTAGCAGAACAAAAAAATACAATTTAAACTGTAAATCAACATGTCTGGTGATTTTTTATCTCAAATTTCGAATTTGTACTGACCAAGTTTCTCATCACCCGTTCGTTTGCCGGACTTCGCTAAAGGGGTAGATATATCTACGGTGCAATTTTATTTCTGCGTTTGGTAGATCTATTCGAATTTTTTTCCAAAAAAAATACTGAATCCGCTAGAGGGGGGTGCGCACTACACTAAAGAAAATACGATATTCATCATTTGCCGATTAACAACGATTTGTTGTTGTTTTGACTTGCGCAAATATGGAAATATACTTCGTGTTTTTGAACGGCAAAACGACCGCCACAGCTGTCACCTGGGCGGATGTCGTACAGCGCATGCGTAGGTACTAAACTCTTAACATTGTTAGTGCATTACTTAATAACGGAAAGTGCTTCCTTCATTCCAGGTATGGAGCTTCATATCGAAAGTGAAAACAGTACACATGGCCTAGCAGTGATCTAGTCGATGTTATTATGTTCCGATATCGATTTTTTTTCACTGAAGTTACCGCACTTATATTAAAAACGATCCTTTTTAATATCTTATGACAAGAGATATTTAGTCGCCAAACTTAATTAAAGACAAGGAGCCAGTTGGCGACTGACATGAAAATACCCCTCTCTAGCGGATTCAGTATTTTTTTGGGAAAAAAATTCGAATAGATCTACTTAATTAAAGACAAGGAGCCAGTTGGCGACTGACATGAAAATACCAGTCGCAAAATACAAAACTAGATCGCCATGGCGACCAATTTAGTCGCAACTTTGTGGCCTGGTGTACCTGTGAAATTAATTCATCTGTCTTTGGACGAAGTTTGGAGGGTTATTTGTGAACTTCTTTTTTAAAAACTATGTGTTTTGAACACTTATTTTGAACTACTCAAGCCTATGGGTATTTTAATGTTGAACTTTATTAAATATGTTTTACACATATAACTACCTGTGACCACTTTTCAGAATGTTCTGAGATTGCGGCCCTTTGTATCCTGTGTTGTTACTGGTGATGAAATAGTTAATCTAGAGTTTCTAGAGCAAAGATGAACCTGTGAAAAGTCCATGTTAGTTAGTCAACTGTTAGTGGAGAAACCTAGTGGTTAAACTGTTGACTCGGAACATCATGGACCTCCCCCTCATGGATAGTATAGGAGAACACAGTCGTGCTATTGCTGGAATATTGCTCAACACCATTATAAAGCACTCATTCCTAGGCTGTTGGTGCGATCCCCATCAAGTACAGCAGTGCTTCATGCAGAAGTCTCTAGGGATCAGTTAAGTCACCCATCACTTTATGCACACTCAAATAGGCTTATCTTTCCTCTCTACAATAACACCCTAATATATTCTAAGGTAAACCCAATCATACAAATAACCAAAGTTTCAATGTGGTTTCCACTGTCAACAGAAAATACTTTGTATGTTTTGTGATTGTTGTTGGGTCGTCAAGTTCATTTAATTTCATTAATTCATTAAAGTCTTTGGAGATGTCATCATGGTGACTGTCATCAATAATGTGATGTGGGGACTGAGTATCCTGGGACTCCCTGGAGGTAAGGTGGTGCTACCAACAATCAAATAAATGCTCTCACTCAACTCATGTCTCCTGCTTTAGAATATCAAGTATTTAAGATGAGGATGAATATCAGATCCTCATGAGTCTGATTTGCAACAATGTTTTGTCAAATGTTTTTACTTTCCAGCAATCCCCCAAAGAATATACTTTCTTTTTTATCTTGATAAACATTCTGCACTTAGTGAACAAATGTAAAGGCTTTAAAACTGATTCAAGCCACGCCTTTTGTTAGAAATCAATTAACTTGGACAATGTCACATAGCTGAAGTATTCCTGAGTGTGAATACCTACCTGTAATCCTGGTGACTCCCAGTGTTAATGTCTGTGTGTCCTTGGCATAAAAATGGTCCAACGTGACCACTGTACCCACAACACATAAACATAAAGTATTTGGGATTCTTTTTTTTAGGCCTATCATACACCAAGATTTCCTTGTTCGAATTTCAACCACGTGATTGACTGAGGAAAATCTGATATGGGCTATACTAAGTTTTATTGTATTATCAGAATAGAATGAGTTTAGTATGACATGAATGCTACAAATGAATGGGACTCAGAGCATATTATTTTCTGTCCATTTTCAATTTCTATGTGCATAAGGACACAATATTTTGCGTCAGTCTAGCACAAGCAGAAGGCTGCCTCAGTGGGAAAGGATGCTTGATGCAGCAGCTGTCGCCTGCCCTGGTGATGTCATCACTATTGCCCTGACCAGATTATCTCACTCATTGATAGCATAATGAGAAAAAAGTGCTGCATGACACAGCCTCACGGCCACGTGACAAAGCCTCACAGCCACGTGGCAGCCTCACAGCCAACATGACAACCTCACCGCCACATGACAGCCTACATGACAGCCTCAAAGCCACATGACAGCCTCACAGCCCACATGACAGCCTACATGACAGCCTCACAGCCACATGACAAAGCCTCACAGACTACATGACAGCCTACATGACAGCCTCAAAGCCACGTGACAGCCTCACAGCCCACATGACAGCCTCACAGCCCACATGACAAATCCTCAAAGCCACATGACAAAGCCTCACAGCCACTGAAGTCCTCTTCAGTACAAACTCTGCAGTCCTCTACAGTACAAACACTGCAGTCCTCTACAGTACAAACACTGCAGTCCTCTACAGTACAAACTCTGCAGTCCTCTACAGTACAAACTCTGCAGTCCTCTACAGTACAAACTCTGCAGTCCTCTACAGTACAAACTCTGCAGTCCTCTACAGTACAAACACTGCAGTCCTCTACATTACAAACTCTTCAGTCCTCAACAGTACAAACTCTTCAGTCCTCTACAGTACAAACTCTGCAGTCCTCTACAGTACAAACTCTGCAGTCCTCTACAGTACAAACACTGCAGTCCTCTACAGTACAAACTCTTCAGTCCTCTACATTACAAACTCTTCAGTCCTCAACAGTACAAACTCTTCAGTCCTCTACAGTACAAACTCTGCAGTCCTCTACAGTACAAACTCTGCAGTCCTCTACAGTACAAACACTGCAGTCCTCTACAGTACAAACTCTTCAGTCCTCAACAGTACAAACTCTTCAGTCCTCTACAGTACAAACTCTGCAGTCCTCTACAGTACAAACTCTTCAGTCCTCAACAGTACAAACTCTTCAGTCCTCTACAGTACAAACTCTTCAGTACTCTACAGTACAAACTCTTCAGTCCTCTACAGTACAAACTCTTCAGTCCTCTACTGTACAAACTCTTCTGTCCTCTACAGTACAAACTCTGCAATCCCCTACAGTACAAACTCTTCAGTCCTCTACTGTACAAACTCTTCAGTCCTCTACAGTACAAACTCTTCAGTCCTCTACAGTACAAACTCTTCAGTCCTCTACAGTACAAACTCTTCAGTCCTCTACAGTACAAACTCTTCAGTCCTCAACAGTACAAACTCTTCAGTCCCCTACAGTACAAACTCTTCAGTCCTCTACTGTTCATACTCTTCAGTCCTCAACAGTACACACTCTTCAGTCCCCTACAGTACAAACTCTTCAGTCCTCTACTGTTCATACTCTTCAGTCCTCAACAGTACATACTCTTCAGTCCTCTACAGTACAAACTATTCAGTCCTCTACTGTACATACTCTTCAGTCCTCTACAGTACAAACTCTTCAGACCTCTACTGTTCATACTCTTCAGTCCTCTACAGTACAAACTCTTCAGTCCTCTACAGTACAAACACTTCAGTCCTCTACAGTACAAACACTTCAGTCCTCTACAGTACAAACACTACAGTCCTCTACAGTACAAACTCTGCAGTCCTCTACAGTACAAACACTGCAGTCCTCTACAGTACAAACTCAATAGTTCTCTACAGTCTTGTTCATATCCACGGAGACCATAGTAAAACAGTAATGCTAAAAACGGTGCATAATGTGAATCATTCCAAAGTCTTTGACATTTCTGCTTCAAAGCCAGGTATCCCCTCAATTTGTTGTTTTCACATGACAAGGGACCCCATGACTGTCATGCTTAATGAGACACTAACACAGTGTCCATGTGTAAGCTGTACTCACGGTTGATGAAGAGGAGCAAGGTTCCCTTCTTCATGGAGTAGTTGGCATTGGAGACAAATCCATGCATCTTATAGGCCAGATGCTTCTCCTCATTGCTGACTTCAAGCAGCTCTCTGAAACACCACCAACATAACATTCAGTTAATACAAGATGCCTGTGATATGTGTATCATACAGGGGAGGTTGTGTGAAGAACAAACATCTGGGTTGCAAGGAAGTTTTAAAGGAGGAGATGAACAGTTGTTCTCTTTAACAACTCATTTTTTGGGACATACGGCTTATCAAGCAAATAATTTGTTATTTTCTAAAGCATGAAGCAAAATTTCATTTTCCTGGAAATCGCAACCTCCTTCCTAGAAAATGAAATGGTTGATACTGTACTGCAGCACAGAAACAACTCCCTGTTACCACACAGAACTCCATGCATTGACAGAAGTGACTTGACAACAGCAGGAAATGGAATGTGAACAGTTCAAACAGTCTCCATCAAACTAGCCACTGCCATTCTGTCCAACATTCTTTTCTGCTACCATGAACTTATATACAGATGTGGGGACCAACAGCCATGTGGCAGCCTCAAAAGTACTTGACACAGCCTCACAGCTTAGTGACAGCCTCACTGCCACAAACTATCCACTGTCACTTCCCACCCAGCTTCTTCTCTATCATCCATCAAACTATCCACTGTCACTTTCCTCCAGCTCCTTCCCTACCATCCATCAAACTATCCACTGTCACTTCCCACCCAGCTCCTTCCCTACCATCCATCAAACTATCCACTGTCACTTCTCACGCAGCTCCTTCTCTACCATCCATCAAACTATCCACTGTCACTTCTCACGCAGCTCCTTCTCTATCATCCATCAAACTATCCACTGTCACTTCCCACCCAGCTCCTTCCCTACCATCCATCAAACTATCCACTGTCACTTCTCACAGAGCTCCTTCCCTACCATCCATCAAACTATCCACTGTCACTTCTCAAACAGCTCCTTCCCTACCATCCATCAAACTATCCACTGTCACTTCCCACCCAGCTCCTTCTATATCATCCATCAAACTATCCACTGTCACTTCCCTCCAGCTCCTTCCCTACCATCCATCAAACTATCCACTGTCACTTTCCTCCAGCTCCTTCCCTACCATCCATCAAACTATCCACTGTCACTTCTCAAACAGCTCCTTCCCTACCATCCATCAAACTATCCACTGTCACTTCCCACCCAGCTCCTTCTATATCATCCATCAAACTATCCACTGTCACTTCCCTCCAGCTCCTTCCCTACCATCCATCAAACTATCCACTGTCACTTCCCACCCAGCTCCTTCTCTACCATCCATCGAACTATCAACTGTCACTTTCCTCCAGCTCCTTCACTATCATCCATCAAACTATCCACTGTCACTTCTCACAGAGCTCCTTCACTACCATCCATCAAACTATCCACTGTCACTTCCCACCCAGCTCCTTCTCTACCATCCATCGAACTATCAACTGTCACTTTCCTCCAGCTCCTTCACTATCATCCATCAAACTATCCACTGTCACTTCTCACAGAGCTCCTTCCCTACCATCCATCAAACTATCCACTGTCACTTCCCACCCAGCTCCTTCTCTATCATCCATCAAACTATCCACTGTCACTTTCCTCCAGCTCCTTCCCTACCATCCATCAAACTATCCACTGTCACTTCCCACCCAGCTCCTTCCCTACCATCCATCAAACTATCAACTGTCACTTCCCACCCAGCTCCTTCTCTATCATCCATCAAACTATCCACTGTCACTTTCCTCCAGCTCCTTCCCTACCATCCATCAAACTATCCACTGTCACTTCCCACCCAGCTCCTTCCCTACCATCCATCAAACTATCCACTGTCACTTCCCTCCAGCTCCTTCCCTACCATCCATCAAACTATCCACTGTCACTTCCCACCCAGCTCCTTCTCTACCATCCATCAAACTATCCACTGTCACTTCCCACCCAGCTCCTTCCCTACCATCCATCAAACTATCCACTGTCACTTCCCACCCAGCTCCTTCTCTACCATCCATCGAACTATCAACTGTCACTTTCCTCCAGCTCCTTCACTATCATCCATCAAACTATCCACTGTCACTTCTCACAGAGCTCCTTCCCTACCATCCATCAAACTATCCACTGTCACTTCTCAAACAGCTCCTTCCCTTCCATCCATCAAACTATCAACTGTCACTTCCCACCCAGCTCCTTCTCTATCATCCATCAAACTATCCACTGTCACTTTCCTCCAGCTCCTTCCCTACCATCCATCAAACTATCCACTGTCACTTCCCACCCAGCTCCTTCCCTACCATCCATCAAACTATCCACTGTCACTTCCCTCCAGCTCCTTCCCTACCATCCATCAAACTATCCACTGTCACTTCCCACCCAGCTCCTTCTCTACCATCCATCAAACTATCCACTGTCACTTCCCACCCAGCTCCTTCCCTACCATCCATCAAACTATCCACTGTCACTTCCCACCCAGCTCCTTCTCTACCATCCATCGAACTATCAACTGTCACTTTCCTCCAGCTCCTTCACTATCATCCATCAAACTATCCACTGTCACTTCTCACAGAGCTCCTTCCCTACCATCCATCAAACTATCCACTGTCACTTCTCAAACAGCTCCTTCCCTACCATCCATCAAACTATCCACTGTCACTTCCCACCCAGCTCCTTCCCTACCATCCATCAAACTATCCACTGTCACTTCTCACAGAGCTCCTTCCCTACCATCCATCAAACTATCCACTGTCACTTCTCAAACAGCTCCTTCCCTACCATCCATCAAACTATCCACTGTCACTTCCCACCCAGCTCCTTCCCTACCATCCATCAAACTATCCACTGTCACTTTCCTCCAGCTCCTTCCCTACCATCCACCAAACTATCCACTGTCACTACCTTCTTCGCTCACTCCCTCTCTCCCTTCCTTTCATCCTCCCTAATTTCTTCCTCACTCACCTCCACACTCTTTCAGCTTCTCACCCCTTGACCTGCCCATGTCCCTTCCGCACTTTCCAACCACTGACCTACATTTTAACCACTCATGCACTTTCCAATCTCTTTCTCATTGCAACCAACCAACCACTTCCTTACAGTCCCACAAGGAGCTAACAATAAGATCCCACAGTACAGTTATCCACAAATAAACTCCAGACAAGTTGCCCTTTTCACCATGGATTGCCGAATGCCAGGAATAGCTCTCTCAAATAGATGGAAAATCCTCCTGCCAAGTTACCAGACATCTTAAAAGGTTTCACCCTGAGTGTAACTGTAGCTGCTCATATTGTATGTCACCTGACAGCCCTTATCAATGCACTACTCCCGCCACATCATCTTCAGGACTTAACAAGGACACCAGGGAACTGATTAAGGATCCGATATACCTGATGTTAATAATAAAACACAAGATCAGAGCACAAAATTTTCATCCCACTTTGAAACAATTTCAAAGTAGTGCAAGTCAGACAAAATATGAACTATGAAAGCTGAGCCATGTGCAACTGATCACTGAATTTACTTCATTTGAGCTGGAATTGTGAAGGATAGCCATAGGTTCACATCTACAGTGTTCTAGCAGACAGAGGATGACAGGCTTTCAATAAAAGAACAAGGTTAATACATGTATTCAGATTGATATTACTTTATACTGCATGTTTGGATGCACTTCATCCACATGTCACTTTTTCCAAATACATGTATGCATGACCTCCTCAGAGGCCGGAAAATAGTTCTCTTTTTTGAGTCACCAAGTTTCTAGTTTTGTTGAACAGAAGTTCTATAACCAGAGCTCACATGCTCATCTTTGTTGAATGAATTAACACTTGAGTGATCATGTTCAAACCTAGATGTGAAGAAATCCCGCCTACCACTACATGACTTCCCTTTCATCACCACCAACACACCACAAAGAATGCACTGCAATAATAAAGCCTGTCTAAATAGATCTGCTTTCTGTCTGTGCACTGCAGAGGTCAATCATGTGAAGACATTGATTCTGTTTTCATTATCTTCCACTGTCACGCAGTGAGCAGGTTTGCTTTTATGCCACTTTCATAAATATTCCGGCATGGTTGGGGACACAAGAAATGGGCACTACACATTGAACTGGGGCTTATGGCATGATGATCGAGCCCCAGTGCGCATGCAGTACACAGCTGCATCACAGAGTTAACCCAGCCTCAGATCATCACAGGTCTCAAAGCAAGGATTTTCCTTTGGTATTTGTTGCAAGAGAACAAGTGATAGAGAACGAACTAAGACCAAATGTCGATGAAACTTATACTCTTTCATACTAGTTATTGGGGAGTTAGATGCTCTTTTTACACTGCTGAGTTTCCCGTAAAAAGATCTGTAATATGCACAAGAAAATACAAATTGCCATGCTTAGTACCAGCCGCTTACAACAACTTCTTACAGGCCGTCTAGAATTTGGTCAGGGGTGTAGACTGGAGCAGAACACTGCACCTGACACATCAATCACAGGAACACATTCCTGACCATGGTGCACTCCACTGGTGTACTCCAGAACGTCAACAGTATCTCAGCCCAACATAATCTGGCACTGGCTTCATCCAGCATGAAATAAGTCCACATATACAGACATCAGTCAGACCCCATGCACTGCTCTGTGTTGTGCCTGCCAATTCAGTAGATCCCCTCAGACATGAGGGCAGACATGAGGGCAGGTTGACCAGATCTGTGCTGCATGTAACCTCCCTGACTTATGATTCTACAAAATTCAGCTATCATGCACTTTGGAAGTGCTGATTCAAACAATAGATTAATATTGTTCATGTTTTAGGAAAGTGACTTACTAGATATATTTAAGAAGTCCAGACATAAATATGTTTCTTGATCAAATTACCAAGAGGCATGATAAAAAATAACGTTAATCGGGGTTTACTTATGATTAAATGCCTTAATAAAAGTTGTTTCAAACAAAAATATAAAGCACAATAAAAATTGTAAAGGGAAACTTGTTTGCTCAAAAGGAAATAAATAGTACTTGTGAAAATAACAAAAGAAAACCAGTCACTGAAAGTTTGCTACATATCAACCACGTGTTTATACATTTGTTTAATCATATAAAAAACTTTTTGGAGAATAACGATTTCCATAGTCACATGTTAATTAAAAAAGTGAATTCCTATTTAAAAATTTGCCAAGCACAAGTAGAGATTCAGCACTACATGCTGATTCATAAATTTAAAAATAAATAATAACAGTAACTATCAATTAATCAATGTTTTGCACATGACTTCTTCAATGAATGCATATACGTTATTTGAATGTGATAATTCCTCAATGATCACTACATGACAGCTTGTGGTGTGCGATGGCGACCATTATGACTTAGCCCATGACATGCACCAGCATATCTTCACACAGGCGTTTGGCAACAGCTGACAGTGAAGACAAAAGCCAATGTGAGGTTGCATTCACAACCAAACTGAATGAGGAAAAAATTGGAGCACCTTTAGAATACAGTACCACAACTTCTCGTGAGGACGATCTCTGCTGTAGGTCACATGTCTCAAAGACAAGCAACCAGTTTTTGTAAGAATCCGTTGGACAAGAACTCGCGACCTTCGGATTGTTAGCCTGACAGCTAACCGACTAAGCTACGTCCACACTGTGCAAATTTACTTTGTCTACTCTTAGGAATGATCCCGATGCCATTTGCCATTTGGCACACTCGTCCCATTCTGTAATCTGCAAGATACTGAGTTGTGAGGAATGATCAAACTGAAAACGGTTCCAGGCGTCAGACGTCAAATGTAGCCGGTGAAAGTGGCTTTTGTGAATGTTCCAGGACAGTTTCCAGTTGCCAAAGTATTCGACACAAACCATTTCATCCTTTTTACTTGACGTTTTCGTGTGAAGAATAGTAGGAGCTGCTATAGAATCTATAATAGCCACTAAACGGGTAGATTTACCAAACCCTTATGATCGTAAAGGGATGATTGACCGTAAAGGGGATCCAAGGGCTAAAGACAGAGTTCGGGTAATCTAATAGCCACTAAATGGGGAACCTAACCCTTAGATGATCATAAAGGGGTGATTGATCATAAAGGGTATCCAAGGGCTAAAGGTAGAGTTCGGGGTAACCTACCATGACACTAGCGATATTTGGATGTGTTCAGCGCCAATATAATATCCCTAATAAACTGCATTCTTGTGCATAATAATGAAAATTAATGAACCGAAAAAATAATATATGTATATTAGTTCAATTTATAATCATTTTAGCCACTTGAATTACGAGAAAAACGAAAAAAAAAATATATAAAAAATAAAAGTGCTTTCGTAAACTAGCGCTTGCTATAAAATGCACCGCCGGAGGCTATATTTAGTAAACAAATATTCAAAACTCTCCACACTGCTTGGCATATTCAATGACATTTCGTATAGAGATGAAAGATCACTGGGAGGAGCTTATGCACACTCGATGACCCCTGATGTCACCGGGCATTGTTTCGCCGGTGTGACTGGCAACAAAATACTACAAATTACGTCATAGGGTATTGTCACGTGTTTGAAAAGTTTGTGGTACTGTATTCTAAAGGTGGGCCGAACATTTTCTTTCACATTTACTAATGTACCAGTGTGAGTACCAAGTTATTGCCCTCATAAGATCTCCATGTAACGCATACAATATTAAAAACAGAATACCAGTGTTTGTTGTTGGGAGGAAAGCCCAAAGTGACAAAGGTGCATGATAATTGCCATGTTGGTGAAGCCCCTGAACATGGGTTGGTAACAAACTCAGCACCAACAGCTCAGCATCTTGTAACAGCAGTTTGTTTACACCATAATACTTCATGCGAACATATGACAGACATTGAAAGCATATAAGCACCGCAACTTGGTAAGCTAACATGAGGTGGACATCGCAAAAGAAAACTAAGTAAGCTTTGCAAAGCTTTCGTTCTACACCGAACGTCACCATTATGACATCATATCGCTCATTGGGCGCAAAAAATGTGATGTCACAGCCAAATACAGAGAAGCGCCAAATTCCTAGTTCTCCCCAAAACTTAAAATACATTGTATTTAAAGATTTCTATACTGTTTTCTGCTCTAAATGTATTGCCACACATCCTTTGAATATTGTCGTAACCACAACTTTGCATTTTGTAACCTGTAGTTGTAGATATAATTATCTAAATACGCCTACCGACAATGATTGAAAAAAAATAAATTATTCTATGAATATTAGCTTCCGTGGTGATGCGGTCGTCAAACCAGCTGTTTTAATCAGAGGGGGTTTATTGTAAATTAATAGCCCCTGATTGACCAATCAGAATCAAGTAATTTCCAAATTCATGGTAGAATAAATGTCAAAGTCAACTTGGACATTGACACATGCATGTCAATGTTTCTTTTTTTTAACAATTCCTGTAACAAAATAAATAACAACTATTAAAGTAGTCATGCATGTAAATTCATTTTTCAATTTCATTTTTTACAAGAATGTTTGCAACATTTTCTTGTTTTCCTTTGCAGCTGTTTCTGGGTGATGGGATGTGGGCTGGAAGAAGGTGGTTTGGAGGATCAAGTCTGTATTCTCAGCAGTGTTAGGTAAAAGTGAACACAGAGCACCTCACACACCCTACAGCTACAGCCTCCCACCACAGCCTGCAGCTGACACAGCAAAAACCTCACCAAGACTTCACCAGTCTGTGGACTGTTACAGGCTTACAGTATTTCAGTTGTGTTTGGATAACATTGGACTGCATCAGTAAGTCATTAACAGCAGGGTTAGGCAGTGAAAAATATTGATGGCAGACAACATTAGTGTTTGACTCAAGGAAAACTTTCATGGGGCAAGAATGTCATTTAACAAGTAAAGACCTCAAGGAACTTTGAAGGTCTCTTATACAAAAAACTTGTGTTAAAACATCAGATTTCTACAAAATATGAATCTTTTCCGACTATGAAATGTACTGTTTGAAAGAAGATTCAAGAAATCACCAATACCAGTGTAATGTCGGCTTATTACCTTTAGTCTGTATTCAGCAACTGGACAGTCGTTAGATACTGAAGGACATTTTCAGTACTCAGAAAACAAAAACATTATTGCTCCTGACAATCTTGAGTAATTATTATTTATTCAGATTTCTCAATTGATATTTTCTGGGAGATATCTTCTCCTGCGACTTCATCAACAGGCCACAATGTCAATAATAAACGTAAGTACAGCGGCAACGTTGACAGCTAACGTGACCCAGGGGATGATGAGGCGCTGGACCCTGGAAGAGCGGGCACAGCTGATTCTCTCCCAGCCCGTCGCAATCATCAGTCTCATTCTTTGTTTTCTTGCCATTGTTGCAAATTGCTTCTCAATTCTTGCAACCATGCTGGGTCCCAATGGTATGGTGACACACAACAAACTGATTGTGAGCCTGGGGCTGTCAGACATCCTGCTGAGTTTCAGTGTGGTCAGTCACACCATCAACAAGGTGCTCATTCCCTACCCCCACAAGGACTCCACCCAACAGGAAGTCCTCACATTCTACTGTATGACAATCTTTGCATTTGCTCTCTACACAATGGCAACAATCATCTCCCTTTTGAACCTCTTTGCAATGGCAGTGGACCACTATGTTGCCATCATGAAACCCCTTCATTACGCTGCATACCTGTCCCGGGCACGAGGCAATTGCTTTATTGTGACCATATGGATGTTGGCAATTTTTTGTGGATTTTCAGTATTTTTATCTGATATCCGGAACTACGGTAAAAGAGATCTGAATTACTGTCATTATCTGAAGAAACGAGATTTTCAAGGGGAATATCTCATTATTGCTGTTGCATTCCTCTGCCTCCTGACCATCCTGTACACATATCTGCGCATTTACATCGAAGTCCGGAGAGTTCACAGACAAGGCCCGTCAGCACGAATGGATTACGTACGAAATCGGAAGGCTCTCTTCACAACCTTGGTCATCATCGGAACATTTGCTGTTTGCTGGCTGCCGACATGTCTGATGCAAATAATCCTCACTATTCAAGCAAAACTAAGTCCACAGTCGATCATTAAACATTTTGGGGTCCTGTTTCGACTTCAGCGCTATCTCAACTGCCTGATTCTGGTGAACACTCTGTGTGATCCCATCGTTTATGCAGTTCGTCTGAGAGATGTTCAGCTTGGATACAGAAGAATTTTCCAGAAATGTCTCTTTTTTCGGTCCAAACGGAGAGGCAGCCTACAAATGACCATGGAGCGTCGAAACACACAAATTGCACGTCTGCTTACAATGGACAGTATCACAATACCGAACGACAAGGAGTCAGGCAACTCACTGTGTGAAACCTCAGCTGACAAGAACAGTGATTCACCAACCAAAGTGTAATCCCATTATTTGCTGCTGCTCAGGAATTATGCAACATAAGACCAAACTTATCAATGCAGACAGATATGCTGAACATCTACAAGTTTCACCAACTCAATGGACACTAGATTATTATTCGTATCTCCTTACACCCAATATGGAGAGATATGTAATTGTCACTGAAAATAACTGAACTATCATGAAATATGAATCCAATATACAGATTAATATTTTTCTTTGAAACAACAGTAAATGACAGCTTCAGCAGTAATCAGAAGCCTGTTATGACATTGGAAGATGTCAACATGTTTAAGTTTGAATCACTGGGACAAGAGTTCAGTGTTGGATGTTGATTCATACAAGGAATGTTTGAACATGGCACCAACTTCATCTCATCCGAATAGCCAACCTTAGTCAGGGTAAAAACATATCAGTGAGGCATTTGAAACGTAAGACAAATTCATATAGACAGTTTAAATGTAATCATGGTGTAAACAATTACTTTTTCTCTACTGCTACATTATTAATTCTGTAAGCTGGATGTGGTTGGAACCATATTATCTAATAAGGTATCTGGGCTTTGAAAGAAAGTCAAAGATCCTGGTGTGACTAAGGGAACCAACTCTGCATGACATTTTTTTATGCCTTAGACATTCTACCAACCCTCATCACAGTATAGATCAGACTATATCATTTCTTATTTGGAGGGTTTATTATTTCTCAACATGAAACCAATATTTATTTAGTGATCAATGATTAAACACAAAGAACAAAGAATGATTAGGGCCTTTTTAGCCCATGGGTATGCATAATTCAAGAAATTAGGTAAAGCTTTACAAATCATTGTGACCTTTATCAGATATGTTCATAAGTACCCAAAATAAGTTTTTCAATTCAACAACTGCATGTGACTTATGACAACACCTAATGCAAATGTAAGGCTAAGTCAAAAGGACGATTTTGGACGTTTTCAGGAAGAGATCTTCTAATATTTGAAAATAAAAAAGTCTTTGACCAAGGCAGGTCTTTTTTCATGGAAGTACACAAAAAAAGGTACAAACATATTTTACAAAATTATGGGGGCTTTCACACTGGTGCATAGTTAGATGTTGTCTTGAATTGAAAACATTGCCCTTTTATGGTAATTTTCGCCATTGTTGTGGAGAAAAATAATTCTTGCAAGGGTAAGAAAAAAATTATAAAGCCATAATAGTCTGTAGCTCTCCAGAACTATGAAGACAAAGTGGCGGCCATGTCGAAAGTCGGATTGGATTTCTGTGTGCAACTTTTAGACATTACAGCTGGAATCATTCATACAAAGTTTCACCACCCTAGGGCTTGTAGATACAGAAATGTTGAAAATGCAGAAAAAATTGAAAAAATGGGCTTACCTGAATGTCAAAAGTAATAGCTTGATTAAAAAACAATAATCAAAATATGCCCCAAATGTATTATACATTATACCACACACTTTCTGCATATCATCTTCATCTTCCGGAGGTTTAAAGTCTGATCGCAATTCTGTGAAAACAGACACCATATCTGGGATAACTTATGCAAAGTTTCAGTTTCTTACACATAATTTTTGGAGAAGATGTTCAAAATGTAAAACTTAACGATGCACATTCACAGGGATGGACAGATGATAAATGAGCCACAACACAAGCTCACTTGACCAGCTGTCAACCATTTGATCATATCTTATGATTTTCACACCATTATTACAAAACTTTTCATGAAAGTTTACATGTCCATTGGGCCAGAAATAGCCCATAACCAATTGTCCTCTGCATCAGATGTAACGACGTCATCTACATGGTGGGTTCCACTTCATTTCCAACATAAGTCCTCCTGCCATGCTGCTGTGAGGTATCTGACACACAACTGTAGTCTTCATTGCTGGGTTTCAAACATCAAAACAATTTCTTATCTTGAAAACATAACCCCCTTGGAGATATTGGATAAGGAAAGATCACAGATTAGACGTATTTAAAATACCAAAGGTTTGTGGAAAGATGAAAATCTCTTTGTAAAGGAAATGTTACACGTTATATGGAAATACACAACGTGTATGCATAGATGAAACATCCTTTGAAATTTTTATGCTATTTTGATAAAGATCAAAGGTGTGTACAGATAGAAATTTCTTTGAAAGATGAGTGTTGTCTTAAGATTATCAACAGCCAATTCAGATATCTGTTTCACCAGACAATTAATGGACATTCAATAGTAACTTGCACACAGCCCTTATACTGTGATTTAAAGATATCACAAGACAGTGAGAGAATGATAAGAATTGGATGCAACTTATAGTCGATCACCATGGAGCCATGTTGGGAAAGGATGCCAACAAGTTGGAAGCACTACCTACTGGGCCACAAGCTAGAATAGTTAAGCTTTGTTTCCATTGTCTTGGTTCAACAAACATACAATCTCAATAAAATCAATCTTAGTTCTCACTACCGCTAAACAAGGATCTGAGGACATCCCATTACAGGTCACGTCAGAACGACCTTTCATCTTACCAAAAAGAGTGTAGCTTACCAAATCAGGAAAGTGTTTTCTCATCATGCAACCTCAAAATGTTTGACACGATTATTCCAAGCTACAATTACGAGCTTTACGATTGAATCCATCAAAAACATTGTCTATCTGTCCCTTCAGTGGGATAAACATTTGAACGGAAGAGACTTTGCATCACCTGTGGGAAGTACTGCCCTACAATCTCAGCCATCTGTTGACATTCCAGTATGTTCTTTTGTTTAGTTTTCAAATTTTGAATCGAGAACTTTGTCAACATATTTTTCAAAGCCTAGTCGCCAGTAAGAAACTAATCCTGTATAGCTTAAGAAAGCTGCTTTCTGATTGGCTAAGTTGACTTCTTGTTAGTCATTTCATTGGTCCGTCAAAGTTTGCGAAAGGTCGTTCTGATATGACCCGTAATGGGATGTCCTCAGATCTTTGTTTAGTTGAAGTGAGAACTACGATCTGGTTTTAATGAGATTGACAAAAGATGACATTCAATGTGTTTGTCAGAGTCTCAATTGTATATTAGAAATCATAGCACAAGTTATCTATTAGATATTTTAATGAATTTGTAAAGTTTTCTTTTTGAATTATTATGCCTTTATCAGCTAGTGACATTTTGCTTGGGATCTTAAGTAGATTCACATAATGCAACACTACATAGCTTTTTAGTGGTCAACCAGTATAGTGAGGAAGCAATTGCAAACATTTATTTCTGTACTGCTGACAAAAAATGTCATGGAGACAAGACATATTTTTCCAAAATCTATTTCTGTACCATTATTATTTGTTTGCTTGTTGTTTAATGCCACACTCTGCAATATTTCAGCTATATGACAGTGGTCTGTAAATAATCGAGTCTGGACCAGACAATTCAGTGATTGACATCATGAGCATCAATCTATGTAATAGGGATGACATGCAGAATCAAGTCAGCAACCCTGAAAACCCGATCTTGTTAGTCGCCTCTTACGACAAGCATGACTTGTCGGGGACCTCTTCTCCACTGGTTTTACCATTAATAAAAAGTGGTGGAAACATAACTACCTGTGAGTGTGATGGGTTTAACACTGCGTTGAACAGTGTTTCCGTCATATCACAGCATGTCAGCTTGATGTGGGAGGAAAGTCCCTTCTGATCAAGGTGTTAGAGGTTTGTTTACCACTTGAAATCCACAAGCTCAAGAATGATGCAGACGTTTTTTGGGATGACCACACACTTTGATGAAAACATTTCTCATACACTACTAATTACCTGTTTTGTCTCAACATCTACCCACCAATCACCATCCATAACCAACTGTGTTTGTCAGGTAGCAGCCATGTACCAGTTCATTATTCCCACCCGGGACTCAGACACAGACATAGTACAGTCGTTCACTCACATCTATTTCCAGTGCATGTTTATAGTCCTTTGAAAGTCCTAATTATTTGTTAGCATCAGTGTGCACTTTGTTACGATTATATTTTATGTACATGAACTGTTTTCTTTTAGCTTTTAATAAATAACTTCAAACAGCACGTTCTGCATAATGGCGTCAATTAATCTATTACAGACCTTAGAAACTATCTGATAAAAGATTAGAATGGAACCGAAATGCCTGCAGACACAATTTATGGATAACAACTTCTTTAATACTGTAAAGGTTTTGTTAATTTTGTGTTGTTTTTGCGACCATGAAGAATCATGATTGATCCAGCCAGTGTGAGAGGACTTGACAACACATGTTGAGGACACCACACATTGTCACTGAAATTTATCCCCGGATCAATTTCAAATCCACACTCTGTATTTCAAGAAATTCTGTCAAAACTGGTTACGAAGCTGTGTTAAACAGAGATAAACAGTTTGTTTTTTTCAACTGCAACCATTAATGCTAACAATTACGTCCTATTCCAACAAAAAAACAATTTCAAGACAATAGTAACAGCTTTTATGTCAAACTTAGCAGGGTCCTGCCAGCATTTATACTGAGAATGGTTCCAAATTGGATTCTTTTATTTCAAATAGATCCTTCGGTCTGTTTTTAGTGAAGTGAGAGAGTGATTATCGTAGTACCAAGCAGGCAGCAACAGTTGACATGATCCACACCCTACAAATGAGATACACCCACACCATACAATGAGATCAGTGACGCAATGCAACCACCAGTCGGTCATCAGTCTGCTCTTTCACCAACCAACAGAAACTGAAATCCACTTCTCCTGCTTCAAATCATCTGGGGACATACCAGTGAAGATGTCCACAGCCAAGCCAGGACATACCAGTAAAGATGTCCACAGCCAAGCCAGGACATACCAGTGAAGATGTCCACAGCCAAGCCGGGACATACCAGTAAAGATGTCCACAGCCAAGACGGGACATAACAGTAAAGATGTCCACAGCCAAGCCAGGACACACCAGTGAGGATGTCAACAGCCAAGCCGGGGCATACCAGTGGGGATGTCAACAGCCAAGCCGGGGCATACCAGTGGAGATGTCCACAGCCAAGCCGGGGCATACCAGTGAAGATGTCCACAGCCAAGCCGGGGCATACCAGTGAAGATGTCCACAGCCAAGCCGGGGCATACCAGTAAAGATGTCCACTGCCAAGCCAGGACATACCAGTAAAGATGTCCACTGCCAAGCCAGGACATACCAGTGAAGATGTCAACAGCCAAGCCGGGGCATACCAGTGGAGATGTCCACAGCCAAGTCGGGGCATACCAGTAAAGATGTCCACTGCCAAGCCATGACATACCAGTAAAGATGTCCACTGCCAAGTGGGGACATACCAGGGAAGATGTCCAATGTGGTCAATGACATACATAGTTTTACCATTTACAAAGTATATATATAGAGGTTATCACGCGAGTGTGTTTGGGGATGATAAATATCCTGCATTAGGAATAAACATTGTATTTAGCTAGCTTTGGCGAGCTAAATACATAGTGTTTATTCCTAATACAGGAATATAAGTTTGGAATATAAGTCGGCAGTTTGAAACTAGTGCTGCAAACTTCTTTCTGATAAGCTATATTTTGAATACAAAGGTCTTGATGAAATGAAGGTGTCACCATTGGTGGGAACAAGCCTGTGAAGTTTCAGCTTCATTGGTCCAGTGGTATCTGAGAAGAAGATATAACAATCTTCACAAACCGGACAAGCACTGAAGGTTAAACATGCTGTGTGCAATAGCGCAATACATAGCAAATATGGCATATTTTCTGGCAAAGCATATACTTACTGCATAAAAAAATTCACAATGACACAAGTAGAAATGTCTGATAAATCTTGGAAAAATAACATTTCCAACTCAGCTGCCATGATTAGACATATTTGAGATCGGATCAGAATTCCTGTGAGCACTTTCTTGAGACACATGGCACCAGCTCACTTTCAGTTAGTTGAACGGAAACAACCACTTCACGGGAATAAATGGCAAGGCTGAGGTTTGCTGTTCACTGACCATGAACCGAGGGCTACGACTCAACCGTGAAACTTGACAGAGTTAGGTTTGAATTACCAAATGCTCTCTCAAAACTCTTATCCTTACGACTATGCGTCATGCCACTAACCAATGTAAAAGTAAGCCATTTATCACAATGTTAATAATTATTAGGGATGGGTATCACAATATTTTACGATGCACAAGGCCGTATTGCGATACGTATCACGGTATATTGTGTAATTCTAAATTTTGAATTCAGAACCAATTTTATAACATCATTACATTTTTGACACAATCTGGCCATAATGAGTTTCAGCTCGAATCAAGGTCCAACTTCACACCAGTGTATGAATTGAGAGATGGATTGTGCACAGCTGATTGCTGTTTCCGACTAAGTTTATGAGAAAATACACACGGTAAACTTAATCACTGCATATGAAACAATGCCTAGGAGAACAAAAATTACAATTTAAACAGTAAATCGACATGTCTTGTGATGTTTGATATCAAATTTCAAATTGGTACTGAACCAAGTTTGTTGTCACCCATTTGTTAAAACCTGAATTCACTGAAGGGATATACTGTCATTTTTTTCTGCACGTAATGATCTTCTTTTCCACAAAACTGACAACTCATTTAATAAATATCCAGATGCATGCTCCGTGCAAGTGTATAACATTAAACACATGATATACCGAGCATTAAAAAATTATATTGTGATATGTATCGTGGCAAGAGTGATCCTCACTATACCGATTTACCGGTAATACTGCGTACCCTTAATAATTGATACCGGGTAAGAGCCAATCACAAAAATAGTGCTACTGCACTGTACCTCACCTGGGTTTGTTGATTAACGCCGCACTCAGCAATATTCCAGCTACATGACGTCAGTCTGTAAATAATCGAGTCTGGACCAGACAATCCAGTGATTAATATCATGAGCATCGATCCACGCAATATGGGATTGATGACATGCATCAACCAAATCAGCAAGCCTGACCACCCGATCCCATTAGTCACCTCTAGCGACAAGCAAAGTCGCCTTTTACGGAAAGCATGGGTTGCTGAAGACCTATTCTACCCCGGATCTTCACGGGTCAGCTCACCTGGGTATGTTAAAATGTCACTTAACAAACATTTTCATATATTTTATGAATAGATAATGAGGACAAAAGTATAAACAAATATGAAATAAGTTACTTAATTTTCACAATGTTTCTAAACCTGCAATTATAAAAGTATTATTGTAGAACCATGTTGCAATACACAACAGTTCAAATGACTTCATACAAAATTTCAACTCTGAGCCTAATTATACCTTCCAAAGAGAACATTTCTTCAAATGTCACACAACTTTTCCAAAAATACAGAAAAATTCCTATTGATTTGAACAAAATATGATATTATTATTGTTGTCATAAACAGAAACATACTTCTTTCTGCTGAGCAGAAAAAATTAGCAGTAGTCATCAAATGAGGTTTATATAGTGCAGTGCAGTGGTGGCAGTTTCAGTGCAAAGGTCAAATCAAGGTAAAAAGTTAAAATACTGCACAAAATGGAACAAACATCAATAGCTTTGTCAATCATCATGTCAAAAGGAAAATCAGATTGAACTTCATGAACAAATAAGGTGTCATCATTGGTGGGAAGAAGGTTGTGAAGTTTCAGCTCTACATTGGTCTAGCGGTAAACAGTGCGACCAAATACGTTCTAGACAATGTAAGAGCAGGGTCAAAATGCAAAGGACAAATGAAGGTCAAAATTTTAAATGAAAAACAGAACATGTCTTAAGCTTCACTATGATCTGCACACATACCAAATTTCATTACATATTTAACACAATCTGGCCATAATGAGTTTCAGCTCAAATCAAGATCCATCTTTACAATACCACCAGAATCGGTAGACACATATAAAGCCCCACTAGTAACTACCCATGTACCATATTGCATCAGATTTAAAAAAAACAAAACATTGAGTAATAGACATGAATAGACTTTTCAAAATAGCTTCCATTGCGGGCATAACGAAAAATATATTTTGAACAGATTGGGTGTCATCGTTGGTGGGAACAAGCTTATAGAGTTTCAGGTCCACAGGTCCAGTGATTTCCGAGAAGATGCATGTTTACAACTAATGACTGAATTTTATTTTGTATTTTCTAAAATGGTCACTGGCAGCCATATTTCCGATTAAGATTCCGGAACAAACTAATGGCACTACATTCGCACAGCGGGTGCGCACTGTGCATGCCAAACCGGAAGTTGGCAGGTAGCAACCACCATTTTCTTGCTGGACAGCATAAATTGTGATTTCACCCGAGCACATGGAGCATCATCAAGGCAACATTTTAGACCTTTTAGTTAATATTTTGAACTAAACCTAACTTACATCATGCCCCGATGGGTTTCCCGGCCACAATCGCCATAGTATAGAATAGCTCAATTTCTTTTACTCTACTTTTGATGTCATTTGGCACAATGAGATGACTCAAAAACTAGATTCTTTTCAGCATGAAAATGACATTATTATATCACACTAGCACACTCTTGTGTCAGTTTTAGCTTTATTATGCTATTTTAGGATTTTTATCAATGTATTTTAACTTTGCGTCATGTAAATGTTCCGAGATATTGAAAAAACAAAACAAAAAACTGTACTAGTTAATGGTAATGGTTTAACACTCTCTGGGGTATTCATTTTCCTTCTAAGCTGTCTGTCGTGATAATCGTAGCTTGACAACATCTCATTTATACCTTGTTCCTGCATTTCAGACTGCTGATAAACCAAAAATGACGCTATCTTGAGGATTATTCATCCTTCCAGGAACGTTGGAAGCCATTTCTTTTTACTACTACTGATTAGAGTGAATTCTTTTCACATGCTGTGTTGGCCATAGTTAGAGTTAACTGTCTTCTGACATGACTCACACACTAAATCATGTTTCTTTTTTATGTGAGTGCTTGAAGCTAAGGCACAGGTGTTAAATGAAAGACAAGACTATCGATCACATTGATGTTCATGGTTCTGAAAGATAAAGAATAATGTCAAAATGGTACACTTCCACCAGGACAGAGTGCAGCAAGCCCTGAAACACCTACACTTCCACCAGGACAGATTGCAACAAACCCTGAAACACCTACACTTCCACCAGGACAGAGTGCAACAAACCCT